AAAAGATAAATTGACAAACCTTTAGATGGACTAAGAGTAAATGAGAGAATCACCAAAAATATAAAATCAAAAATGAAAAAGAAGACACAATAACTGAGACCACAGAAATACAAAGAATCATTAGAAACTATCAATAACTATATGCCAATACATTGGAAAACCTGGAAAAAATAGATAAATTCCTAGATACATACAACCTACCAAGATTGAAATGAAGAAATAGAAAACTTCAAAAAACCAATAACTAGTAAGGAGAGAGAAGCCTTAATAAGTCTTCCATCAAAAAAAAAAAAAGCCCAAGATGTGATGGCCTCACTGTTGAATTCATCCTATGAGGCCAGCATTACCCTAATACCAAAACCAGACAAGAACACACAAAAAAAGAAACACACAGGCCAATATTGCTGATGCACATAGACACAAAAACTCTCAACGAAATACTAGCAAACCAAATTCAACAGCACCTTAAAATGATTGTTTACCATCATCAAGTGTGATTCATCCCAAGGAGGCAAGGATGTTTCAACACATACAATCAATAAATGTGGCACATCGCGTTAACAGAATCAAGATGAAAAAAATATGATTATTTCAATAGATGCTGAAAAAACATTCAATAAAATTCAACATCTCTTTATGACAAAAACCTTTAACAAACAGGGTATAGAATGAACATACCTCAAAATAATAAAGGCCTTGTTATGACAAACCCACAGCTATCATCATATTGAACGGGGAAAAAAATGAAAGAATTCAATTGAAAAACTGAATTCCCCTAAGATCTGGAACAAGAAAGAGATGCCCATCTTAACCACTTTCATTCAACATAATACTGGAAGTCCTGGCCAGAGCAACTAGGCAAGAAAAAAAAATAAAGGACACTCAAATAGGAAAGGAAGAAGTCAAACTAGTCTTCTTCACAGATTACATTATCTTATACTAAGAAAATCTTAAAGACTCCACAAAAAAAAACCATTAAAACATAAACAAATTTGGTAAAGTTGCAGGATATGAAATCAACATACAAAAACTGATAGCATTTCTGTACACCAACGGTGAGCAATGTGAAAAAAAATCAAGAAAGCAATCCTATTTACAATGGTTACAAAGAAAGGTCACAAAATACCTGGGAATCACCTTAATCAAAGTGAAAAGTCTATACAAGGAAAACTATAAAACACTGATGGAAGAAATTGAAAAGGACACACAAAGAATGGAAAGATATTCCATGGTCATGGATTGGAAGAATTAATATCATTACAATGACAATACTACCAAAAGCAATTTACAGATTCAATGCAATCCCTATCAAAATGCCAATCTCATTCACAGAAATGAATCCTAAAACTGATATGGAACCACAAAAGACCCCAAATAGCCAAAGCAAGCCTGAGCAAAATGAACAAAGCTGGAGGCATCATATTACCTGACTTCAAATTATACTACAAAGGTATAATAACCAAATCAGCATGGTACTGGCATAAAAACAGACACACAGACCAATGGAACTCATTTTTGACAAAGGTGCCAAGAACATACACTAAGGAATAGAGAGTCTCTTCAATAAATGGTATCGGGAAAACTGAATATTCATATGCAGAAGAATGAAATTAGACCTCTACCTCTTGCCATAAACAAAAATCAAATCAAAATGAATTAAAGACTTAAATTTAAGACCTCAAAATATGAAAATACTACAAATAAACATCGAGGAAAATCTCCAGGACATTGGACTGGACAAAGATATTTTGTGTAAGACCACAAAAGCACAAGCAACCAAAGCAAAAATAGATAAATGATATTATATCAAGTTCAAAAGCTTCTGCACAGCAAAAACAAACAATAACATGAAGCCAGCTGTGGTGGCTCACACCTGTAATCTCAGCACTTTCGGAGGCCAAGGCAGGCAAATCACTTGAGGCCAGGAGTTTAAGACCAGCCTGGCCAATATGGTAAAACTCTGTCTCTACTAAAAATACAAAAATTAGCCAGGTTTTGTGGCACACACACCTGGAATCCAAGCTACTTGGGAGGCGAAGGCAGGAGAATCATTTGAGCCCAGGAGGCAGAGGTTGTAGTGAGCAGAGATCACGCCACTGCATTCCAGCCTGGGTGACAGATTAAGACTCTGCCTCCCCACAGAATGGGAGAAAATATCTGCAAACTACCCATCTGATAAGGGATGAATAATCAGAATATTTAAAGAGCTCAAATAATTCAATAGCAAAAATAAATCTAATTTTAAAATGGGCAAAAGCTCGGAATAGACATTTCTCAAAAGAAGACATACAAATGGACAGTAAGTATATGAAAAAAAATGCTCAACACTACTAATCATCAGAGAAATGCAAGTCAAAACCACAATGAGACATCATCTCACCCCAGTTAAAATGTCTGTTATCAAAAAGGGAATAACACATGCTGGTGAGGAGGTAGAGAAAGAGAAACCCTTGTATATAGTCAGTGGGGATATAAATTAGTACAATCATTATGGAAAGCAGTATGGAGGTTCCTCAAAAAAACTAAAAATAGAACTACCACATAATCCAGCACTTCAACTGCTGGGTACATATTTAAAAGGAAAAAAAATCAATATATCAAAGAAATATCTGCACTTTCATGTTTATTGTGACATTATTCACAATGGCCAAAACAGAATCAACTTAAGTGCCCAGCAATAGCTGAATGGATAAAGAAAATATGGTATAAATACATAATGAAATATTATTCAGCCATAAAAAGAAAGTCATTGGCAGTAACCTGGAGAGAACTGGAGGACATTAAGCTAAATAAGCGAGGAACAGAAAGATGAATATTGCATGTTCTCACTCTTATGTGAGAGCTAAAAAGTGGATCTCATGGCCGGGCGCGGTGGCTCAAGCCTGTAATCCCAGCACTTTGGGAGGCCGAGGTGGGTGGATCACAAGATCAAGAGATCGAGACCATCCTGGTCAACATGGTGAAACCCCGTCTCTACTAAAACTACAAAAAAATTGGCTGAGTGTGGTGGCGCGCGCCTGTAGTCCCAGCTACTCGGGAGGCTGAGGCAGGAGAATTGCCTGAACCCAGGAGGCGGAGGTAGCGGTGAGCCGAGATTGCGCCATTGCACTCCAGCCTGGGTAACGAGAGCGAAACTCCATCTCAAAAAAAAAAAAAAAAAAAAAAAGTGGATCTCATAAAGATCTCATGAAGACTGATGGTTATTAGAGAACACGAAGGGTAGGGGTCTGGGTGGGATAAAGAGAGATCGATTAATGAGTACAAATACACAATTTGATAGAAGAAATAAGACCTACTGTTTGATAGATCAGTAGGATAACTATTATTTACAGCAATCTATTATATATTTCTAAACAGCTAGAAAAGAATAATTCAAATGTTTCTAGCATAAAGACAAATATTTAAGGTGACAAATATCCTAATGACACTGACTTGATCTTTATAAATTATATGAATGTATTAAATTATCACATGTACCCTGAAAATATGTACATCTATTATGTGTTAATAAAAAAAAATAAATTATTTAAAAATAGACCAGATACAGTGGCTAATGCCTGAAATCCCAATACTTTGGGAGGCCAAGGCAGGAGGATCACTTAATGCCAGGAGTCTGCAACCAGCCTAGGCAACATGGTAAAACCCCGTCTCTACAAAAAAAGTTTAAAAATTAGCTGGGCATAGTGTCACATGCCTGTAGTCTCAGTCATTTGTGAGGCTGAGGCAGGAGGATCACTTAAGCACAGAAGTTTGAGGCTGCAGTGAGCTATGATCATGCCACTTCACTTTGGCCTGGGTAACAGAGTGAGACCCCATGCCTACAGGAAAAAAAAATTATCAAAAAACAGCCAGAATTTTTTTAAAAGAACAAAATAGGCCTTAAATACTTAGGAATTTTCTAATTATTCTTGGATTCAAATGTCATTCTAAAGGTAACTTTTACATAACAACACCTATATCAAGCAAAACCTGTATCTCAATCAAGTATGCACCTGTTTATAACTAACACAAGTCCGAATTTGCCTTCAGGAATACTGTGAGTCGATAGGAGCTGGAAAGTCAAGAGACAGGGATATTTTCCTTGCCCTACATCATCCAGTAAGTCTTTGGGTGGCCTTGAGCAAGTGACCAGTGTTTTAGGCCTTCCACATCTGTAAATTGAGGGGTATGGCCCACAGGTCTGGCCTTAACATTCTGTGAATTCTTCCTGATTTTTTTTTTTTTTTGAGACGGAGTCTGGCTCTGTTGCCCAGGCTGGAGTGCGATGGCGCGCTCTTGGCTCACCACAACAACCTCTGCCTCCTGGGTTCAAGAAATTCTCCTGCCTCAGCCTCCCAAGTAGCTGGGATTACAGGTGTGTACCACTACCATGCCAGGCTAATTTTTGTATTTTTAAGTAGAGACCCGGTTTCACCATGTTGGTCAGGCTGGTCTCGAACCCCTGACCTTGTGATCTATCTGCCTCGGCTTCCCAAAGTGCTGGGATTACAGGCGTGAGCCACCGTGCTCGGCTTCTTCCTGATTTTCTTAACTTGGAAGGTCCCAGCCATATTTGTCAATTTAAACGTAATTAAATATAAACAGTTCATAGAACTTTGTGCTGAGTTTCAGAAACAAGCACATTCTAGAGAAAACAGCTCCTTGGTCTTTGAGTGTGTGTGTGTGTGTGTGTGGGGGTTTTTTTTTTAGGTGGAGTTTTGCTCTTGTTGCCAGGCTGGAGTGCAATGGCACAATCTTGGGTCACCACAACCTTCACCACCTCCCAGGTTCAAGTCATTCTCCTACCTCAGCCTTCGGAGTAGCTGGAATTATAGGCATGTGCCACCATACCAGCTAATTTTTTGTATTTTTAGTAGAGACGGGGTTTCTCCATGTTGGTCAGGCTGGTCTCAAACTCCCAATCTCGGCCTCCCAAAGTGCTGGGATTACAGGTGCGACCCACCACACCTGGCCATTTTTTTTTTCCTGACATGATTACTAAACCCCAGAACCCATCATACCTTTAGGAATAGGCTGGGAATGTTTTGCTCCTGGGTCCAATTTGAAGTCCAAATATAAGGTTGGTGTGCGAGTGTAAATCTTGGACTGAAAAAGAAAAGGAAACCATCAGTGTTTTTTTCTAAGAATAAGGTTCTTCTTTCTTTCAGCTGGCCCTTCTATAATAGGCCTGGGCCTGGATCCATTACATTTATAGTTCCTCCTAGGGAAGTGTCAAAGCCAGGGTGGGCTGCTGAAACAGTCCCTCTTAAAGGTCTTGGTCTAGAAGTTAGCCCTTCTAGCTTTACAATGTGGCTGACAAACTAATTTCAGGATGACAGCTGTCTCCCTACAGCCATCTCTCAAATATGGTCTGATATTAACATTTTACTGGCCAATAGTTGCTCCAAATCTCCCACTTCCAATCTTCCACTAGATATGGTAGGTTATCTCACAACCAAATGTATGTTTCTTCCCCGTGTCTCAAGGAAGTCATTTCCATTTTGAATTTAAGAATGTGGACTGAACATATTTTTTATTTTTTCTTACTTGGCCCTCTGGCTAACAAAAGTGGTCTGACACTACTCACTTGAAAAAGCCACAAATTCAAATGTAAGAAAGGCAAACTTTGGCGGGATTTTCTATTGCAAATAGTAACTTTGATTCCATTAAGAGTTAAGCAGAGTTTCTAATTCAATATAATACCATCCTGAATCATTGGCATAGATTAAAATTCAAGGGATTAGAACTGTTGCTATAAACTTTATGATGTCTCATTGTTTATCACAAAGCTCCAGTGGTTCTAGTCTATTTTTTAAACTTAGAATGCACATGAAAATGTAAAAGCACATAACCTTAAACTTGGCAAGGATATGTAGTAGCTGGAATTTTCATACACTGCTGGTGGGACTATAACTTGGTATAAACACTTTGGGAAAGTGCTTGGCAGTATGTAGTACAGATTAATATACATACATAAGCTATGACCCAATATTCTAACTCATAGGTGTGTACTTAACAGCCACCTAAAGACAGGCACAAGAACCTTAATAGTGTCAGAATTGATGATAGCCCCAAACTGGAAATGGTCCAAATGCCTTTAATAATAGAATGGATAAGTGAATTTTAATATACAATGGAATACTATATAACAAGGAGAATGAATGAACTCAACTACATGCAACAATTCAGATGAATTTCATAAGCATAATATTGAGCAAATGAAGGTGGACATGAGAGATCATACACTGTAGGATTCCATTTCTACAAAGTTCAAAACAAGGCACAATGAGTTTATGGTGTGAGAAGTCTGAAAATTAGTTACCTTGGGAAGATTAGTAACTAGAAAGGTATTTTAAAGGGGCTTCTGGGGGCTGATAACGTTCTGTTTCTTAACCTGGCTGCTGGTTTTACAGGTGTGTTTACTTGGTAACCATTCTCTGAACTGTATATTTGATCTATGTACTTCTCAGTGTATATATTATATTTTAATTAAAAGATTACATTCATGCATTTTTAGACAAAAAGAGAATCTAGAGCCCAGAATTATTTACTCTCCTTGATAAAGGCACAATTTTGTGGAGAACAATGCAAGCTCCATGAGAACATGAACATTTCTGCCTTTGTTACCACTAAATTTTCAGGGCCAACCCACTATGTCTGTCAAATAGTAGGTGTTCAATAAATATTTATTGACTGATGTTTCATAATGGAAAACTCCATGTATAGTAATATAGTTATTGACAGTATATATGTGTGTGTATGTATATATGAAGGTGTATATGAATATATATACTGATGGTACATATATATATATACACACATATATATACTGTCAATAACCATATTACTACTCTATATACTGTCAATAACTGTATGACTATACATGGGATTTTACATACACACACACACACACACACACACATATATATGATATTCATCAATATCTTTACCTACATGTAGCAAAATGCTTCTCTTCAGGACAGGTGAATTTGGTAAGGTCAAAGTACATGCCTATACATTAAATTCTGAAATAAAGAATTGTGAATAATGTTGACTATCAAAAGAATTTTTTTCCCTTCTTCTGAATGTCTACTATTGAAGCTTTGGGGTTTAAAATGGTCTGAGGGAGTTTTGCATGGTTTAGAAGGTCAAGCTGTATTAACACAGCTTCAAAGACTAGAAAAGCCAATTCCCCTGTGCATACATAAATGAAACCAGGAAGACCTGTGACATCAAGTGCACCCTAAGGCCAAAGATTCACAATCAATCTGAAGAGCTTGAAACGTACATGAAAGAAGGGCAGCACACAAGGGACACAGGATCTGGTTCTCTAGGATCATTAGGTATATAAGGCACCATCTGGAAAGGGACTGGTTTTGTCTGACGAGGTCTTCTAAAATTACCTCTAAAAAGATCAAGGGCAAACTTCATATCATATCAAATGACTCCTCTGTTCAGGCAATATTTTGCTGTCTTTCAGTGGGTGGGAGGCTAGGGGAGAAACAGCATGGGGTGGGGAATTGGGGAGGGACAGCATTAGGAGAAATGCCTAATGTAGATGACGTGGCGATGGATACAGCAAACCACTACCATGGCACATGTATATCTATGTAACAAACCTGCAGAATCTGCACATGTACCCCAGAATTTAAAGTATAATAAATAAATAAATAAATAAATAAATAAAAATTTTAAAAAGATCCCTGTTTGGTTTAAGCATCTTTCTCAATCTCTGCCTCAGTGGCAGATGCAGTATCCCTTCCAGCAGAGAAGAAATTCATCACAAAGAGATTCTTGGTTTAATTTTTGCTAGCCCTCTCTCCCAGAATGTGGCCATAAAACTAATCTTGAACTGGAAGTCAGGAGTCTTTCATGCTGTATTGCCTTTTCTCTTTTTTTCGTTCTTTTCCTTCCTTTCTTTCTTCTCTTTTTTTTTTTAAATTGTTTTGCAGAGATGGGGTTTCGCCATGTTGCCCAGGCTGGTCTTGGACTCCGGGGCTCAAGCCATTTGCCTGCCTCAGCTTCCCAAAGTGCTGGGATTACAGAGTGTGAGCCACTGTGCCCCGCCAGAGGCATTGCTTTTTCTGCTGACCAATGAAACACTTATCTTCTTCTGGCATAATTTGCTCATCTGAAAATGTTGTGAGGGTAGTTGCTGATGTTTAAGTCTATTTCTGGTTCTGAAATTCTGATTCAGAAAACTAATATTTTCCTCCACACTCTAATTTTTAAAATTCCCTTCCAATTTCTCAGACTAGAGCTAAAGAGAAGTAAGAATGTCACTGGGGTGAGGGACAATATTTTGCTGTCTTTCAGTGGGTGGGAGGCTAGGGGAGCAAATAGAGCTGTGGGGAGTTGGTGGGAAAGCTCTGGTTAACGTGCTGTATTCTTGCCCTCAACCTCAGTCATCAATCTGCCCTCTTGGCTGGCTCTCTTTCCTTCTTCCTTCCGTCTCTTGCTTCTCAACCTCACATTCACATAGAATGTTCTATATTCATTTATGTATTCATCTTAAACATTTTAAACAGAAACCAATGAGACTTTCATAATGCTACAAAATACATTCCATTTTCTCAGTGTGAAAAAGTTTAAGAGGAAACTTTTAATTCATTTTGCAGATGTTTTTCACATCTTTAAACTAAAACAGAATTGCAATTCTAGTATTCTTTTCATATTGGGAATTGGATCACTGAGGGTGTCAATATAACACCTCTTGAATAATAAATTGCCCCAAAGCCTCCAAAACTGAATGTATATTATTCTACCTAAAATAATCTATAATGAGACAAAACTCAATTTGGAAGATGTTCTTATAAGTGTACGTGTAGGGGTGTGTGTGTGTGTGTGTGTGTGTGTGTATAATTTTAAAAGCATGTGGGTTTTATTTTTTGATTTTGATCATCCATGGTAAGTCTATGGAAATAGCAAATGTTCATTTAACTCAAAGGTGACAATGCCAGCCTCAAATATACCTTGAGCAAACCTGGATTCAGTCTTTCCATTACACACACTGCTGATTTTCAACCATAAAGGAATCTTGCTGTTAGGCACATTGTTTCTTGTGTTGTTTTGTTTATTTTTATGTATAGTTTTAAACCATTAATAGATGCTCAAAATAGAATGATCATTTAATTAAATCATTCTTTTTTGGTTAAAACTTAGCTATCAATGTACCTATTTCCACAATAGTAAAACAAATTTGTTCATTAGAAACTAAAAGCAAATACTCCCCTATAAATCTGTTGCAGCATGGACAGAGCTAATGTACTCAAATTCTATCAGTGAATTTGGTTTTTTTTTCCTTTTTTTTCTGTTTCAGTTCTGATTAACAATGACTGCAGAGGTTCTAAAATCCAAAACTCTTCCCCTTTCTTCTTTTTTTCCATTTCACAATTCTATGTTGAAAGTATTTAGGAAACTTTAAAGTTTTAGCCTATATTTCAAAAGCCTAATGGCTTAAAATATTATGGTTCAAATATTATACAGAGAATATTTCTAGAAGGTAAGTAATTTAATTCTTCATAAGAGGTTAAGGGTAAATTTTGCCTAACCTACAACAGGGCTGCTACCAAATTCAGGTAAACCTTGTCTCTCTTTCCCTATAAATATGTCAGAGCCAAACCCATAATGAGTCTCAGACACCACTCCAATAATGGCCACAAAACAACCAAGACAAAACAAGGTCTATAAAACTACTTCCTTCCAAATTCAAATTCCAACCACCTGCATCTTATGTCCTTCAAAGACTTTCCACTTACCCTGGCTTTTGGTAGGATATCCTTGTCAAGCTGACTTCCTTCCTCTGCTTTTATTCATAAATGTGATCTTAATTAGGAGATGAAATCACTTCCACATGGAAACTATGTGGCTTTAAAACATCTCCCCAAGAAAAAGAATGCAGCATGCTACATTGCTATGTATGAGTGTGGCAAAAAAGTATCTTGAATTTTGCCACTGCTCCTTTCACAGATAACTGCTGCCTATTGATTCCCAAATGCTCCTGCTTTTATCACCATCTTGACCCTCCCTAAAAACAAGTGGCAGCAATGTAGTGTAATGTGTCAGACCTATAATAAATGCTTTCACATATCTTTAGGGAACTGTTT